CGTGCGGCCCCGGCTCCCGCGGGCTGCACCCAGGTTGCTTTGGGGCAAGCTGGTGAGATGCTGCTGGGCTGGGAGCAGGGCGGCACAGGCGAGCGGCGAGAGCGCGCGCCCCGGAGCCCTGGGCTCTATTTCTGGTTGCAGGATCTTGGCCAACTCAAACCGTTTCTTTGCAACTCCACTTGAAAACCAGGCAGGCTTATTACCTCCCACTCTTCTTCCTGGAGACACTGCAGGAGCTAATTGAATTTGGTTTGTAAAGCACTTGCAAAAGCACAGTCTAAATGCAGTGTCAAAGCTAGGGCTGGGATTATTTCAGCTAGCGGGAGCTGCTCCTTTCCTTGGATATTTATTGTTCCCGTCTCAATTTTATTTTTATGAATTCCACACATACCGGCATGTTTTTAAAGTCAACAACGCTAATAGAATTACTCTCCAAATGTGAAAGCAGGCACAGTGGAAAATGCTTTCCACCATAAAGCGGCAGATAAAAGCATCCGTCAAGGGCTGTCAGGTTTATTGCCGCGGCAAGAGCAACCGAGATCCTGCCTTGGCACGCGCGCCGAGCGGGCCGGGGCTCAGAGCGAGGTCGGGCTCGCAGAGGGCGCGCACCGCTGCTTTGCTCACCGTGTTGCCACTGTGCCAGCGCCGCTGTCCCCACAGGGACATCGCAAACACGGAGCAGCAGAGGCCACGCGCCTCCCTCCCGCCCCGAGCCAGCTGGGCTGCGGACTGTCTCGCCCAGGGCTTAGCCCAGTCGGGGTCTGGTTCACAACCAGACTACATTACAAACTATAATATATAAGACTATAAATTACAGGCATGCTGTTGCGTTAGTTCAGTCTCGTGGTTGGCTCCGCACGTTGCGGAGACGCCGGCGTTGCAGCAGGGTGCAACAGGAGACATCGTGCCGCGGGGCAACAGGGGGCTTGTTGGATCCGCTCACCGGCTCCCTTTTCTGGGGGACATTCGAACCTCTGAGATAATCGGGGACTTATTAAAATTGCAGGCTTGACACTTAAGGTGGTTGGACTCGCTGTGCAAAATCGCTGCGCTGCCATCTCCACGCAAGGCGACGGCAGGGTTCGATCACGCCTTGGTAGCACGAAGCCAAGACCAAATCTAACAGCGCCCTGAAGACGAGGCAGAGGAAATACCCACAGGAGGACTCTGCCCTACCTTCATTCTGGATTAGCCTTTCCAAAAGACCCCAGCAGGATTAAATGAGGTCTCTGGTCAAGATCTGGCATTTTTAGAAAAACTACAGGCAAGGGCAAGCTGAACAGCTTCACTACCTGACCGAATGAGCTGGCGATGGGGCTCACGTCTCCCACCTGCTAAAAACGGCCACATCTGGAGCGAGAGGCTGAGCCCAGGGGCACAGCCGTGCTTCGATGCCAGGGCTCCCCCAGGAGCCGGGCAGAGCTGCCGGGGTAGCAGACGGGGGACATCCCGGCAGTGACGGCAGCACTTACCCAGGAACGTCCCGATGAAGCCCAGCGCCAAGAAGCTGGAGATGACGAACAAGGTCCCGACGGCCAGGACGGCCAAGCCCAAGAAATAGGCCCAGCGGCAGTCCAAGCCCTCCAGCTTCGGCTGGCTCTTCATGGCCTCTGTGAAGCTGTTGGAGAGACAATGAGGGCTGTTAATAGCAGCAACTTGTTAATACCATCACCTGCCTCCTCCTGGGAGGTGTGGAGCTTGGAGAGAGGAGGGCACTCCACCAGGTCCCTTCTTTCATCCGCACCTACTCGCTGTCTGGAAGGGAGAAGCAAGAAGGCAAAGTCTCGCGAGCAGCCAGGGGTTGGCCTGCTGCAGGTACTTCCACTCGCAACCCCTGCTCGGTGCTGGAAACACCAACCCCACCCAAGCGTGGGACCAAACTGTTTGGGGCTTTTTGGTTTTGTTATGACGGGGAGCTCGGGGAGCCCAGCGAGCATGGGGACCTGAAGGCTGGCAGCGATCTGCTGGGTTATCTCATGCTTCCTCCCCCGTTCCTCCCCACCGAAACATTTTGCAGCGTTCCCGTGTCAGCCACGTGCCCGGCAGTGATTCACGGCTGGAGGCTGGCAGCCAGGGGGAGGACTGCAACGGGGAAAGGGAAACATGGGACGCAGGGATTGTCAAGCACGAGCTTCTCTGCCCCGGGCTCCAGGATGACCCTCCAAATCCTCGTCCACGAGCATAAGAGCCGTGATCCTGCCAAGGTGCTGCACTTTGCAGGGCTCGGCTGGCGCAGCGGCTCCTGCTGCTCCGAGACAACGATGCAGTGATGCAGCGAAGCCCGTTTGTAATAGCAAGAGGAGATACCGGCCTCGCAGGACCGTACGCAGTGCTTCTCCACGCGCGGCAGAAAACTTGGAGGCTCCTTCAATGAACGCCTTGGAGGCAGGAATTCAAGCAGGATGCCGGCTCTCCTGCACCTGGACAGCTTTTTCTGGGCGGAGAGGGCCCGCGGTCCCTCCCGCTCTCTGCTGCGCCAGCTTCTGAGATGGGTACATTTTTCTGATGTCCGTCTCCCCAAGTCCTGCAAACCCCTCGATTGACTTTGCCGCCCAAGGAGAGCCGCGGTGGGGCGTCCTGTCCGGCCTGCCCGGCTCACGGACACGCGGCAGGCGTGCGCCTCGGAGGCTCGATGGCAAGTTACAAGCACCGAGCCAATTCCAAAATTGTACTTAAATTTTATGGTTTAGGGACCGGGATGATAATTTTGTTTTCCTTGGAGCTCGTCCTTACTGTGTTTGCTATCGTTAGAGAGCTTTTTGGGCACCCAGAGCAAGCCGTTTCACCTTCCCTTTGGGCTGGCGCAAGGAAACAAAACAGAGAATAAATGCAATGAGCTGGGGAGAGAGCACAAATTCAGCAGCTCATTGATTTACGCTTTGCCTCCACGCTGGAAATAACTGGGAAATTCCCTTTCCCTGGGAGCCGAGCAGGTGCCGAGGAACGACGGCGCGGCCCCGGGTTGCCCGCGTGCCCAGGGCCACTCTCCTTGCCAGGCTGACGGCGGCTTAGCTTAAAATCAATTCCTAAGCGCTGGGGCGAACGCGCAGACCTGGCCGCAGCTCGCAGCAGCTGCGCAACCGTTGGCATCGCTGCCCTGATGCTTCTTTTTAAATGACGCGCGCCTGCCCTGCGCGGGAGCCCAACCCTGCGTCCCTGCCGCAGCAGCGCCCGGGGGATGCTCCGGGCGGCTTTGCTCCTGCACATGGAGACGCTAATGCCTCTTCGCAGCACCAAGGGTTTGATTCTGCCTTAGGCTGGGACCTCTTCCCAGCGCGCCAGCCCGGGGAAGGCGTCTCAGCGCAACCAGAAAAAAGTCAGGGATGGTTCCCGGGGGGCAGGCAAGGGACACCAGCACTGAGCTGGTGCCCGTCTGGTTCCCAGCCCCCGGCAAAGAGATGGCAAAGTAGAGAGAGGTGCAGCCAGAGCCCAGCGCTCGGAGGCTGCTCTTCACTCTGCTCGAGCAGAGTTCACGTTATCTTGCAGCCTTGAGGCTGCTCTGATTTGTGCCAGCGACCTGCCTCGGCGCACGAGAACAGAGGTGGCTTTGAGAACGGGAACTGGATGACTGCGAACCCGGCTCGGAGGTTTCGCAAGCAGCACATGACACGGTTTGTTTTGGCAGAGTCTCCTCCCCTGCTCCAGACGATCCCATCCTTCCTCCCCATGGCTGGACAGCCCTGCATCAGTTACCCTCATCAGCACGTCTTGCTCGGTCCCCTGCTGTTTGGCTTCCAGCTAGAGAGGGAGGCGTCTGTGCGGAGATAATGGACCGTCTCTCCCCCTAGTAATGTTCTGTATCTTGCTAAACACGCTCTCCATTTGCATTAAACACGATGTGCGCACGAGTTTTTAGAATCGGCAAATAAAGCTTTCAAGCGTTTACGATGCCAGGCCACGGCAGGCAGCACGGGGTCGGCGGCGGCTCCAATTATTCCGGCATCTGCGAGCGCTCCGCGGCAGCCGGGAGACCCTCGCCGGCACGGGGCAAGGACGAGGCGCTGGCCGTCTCGCTC